CCCGCCGCTGCGGTCAGGGAGGTTGGCACAGCCGCCCCTCTGCCAGCTGCCTCCTCCATCACCTCCACGGGGCGATGGAGACCAGCCTCACGCCTCCCCGCTTCTCTTTCTAGGAAGCGGCACATGGGGTCGGGTTGCTCGTTTCCATTTCCAGCCGTCCATGCATGCTTTTCCATCGGTGGCACAGCTCCACACATACGCCTGCGCCTTCCCAACGCCTACAAAGACGGGGCCTCAGCCCAAACACAATTTGCTGCCCCGACGTACAAAAGGCAACAGCAGACTTTTAAAACACCTTTATTAGGCGTGGGCTAAGGTCAGTCTTTGCCCAGGGGCTAGGGTTGAATTACTGGCACTGCAAGATGCTCCCCCCTGCTCCAAAATGCAACCCCTGGCTGGGCTGGATCATGCCCCTGGTCTGCCCAGGTCTCTCCCAGCGCCGCGGAGGCAGCCTGGCTGCACGGACACCCTCTCACCGCAGCTACGCACCCTCCAGCCCAGGCACACGGCCACCCTGTCCGCTAACCAAGCGGCTTTTTTCCTTTTTTAAAACCTTCCTGTAACATCACCGCTGCCTGGGGAGAGAATGCGGCACAGGGGAGCGAGCTGGCAGCCAGCTCCCTCACAGGAAACACTCACAAATGGCTTTTGTTGCTGAGGAAAGGTTAATTTGTGCTCTTGCAAAATGAACGTAGCTGGGAAATACACAATGGCAGCAGCTGGCCCACGGGCATCCTCCTCTCCCACCACCGCTGGTGTTCGGTCCACGCCGCTCCACCGTCTGCGCACGAGGGCTGGACTGTAGGAAAACGAGCTCCGGGCTCCCCAGGCAGAGATCGCCGGTGCCATATCCCGCTCCCTACCCACGAGGCAAGCCCAGGGACGCGGCACTTTTCCTCCCAAAGAGCAGATCTGCGATAGCCCTCCCATAGCTCATCTCAGAGATTCGCTTGGATTTGCCAAGATATCCCAACCTTTGGCTTTCCGTGTTCAGGCTGAAGCTCTTTAGAAACGCAGGCTGCACCAAACTGTGACAGTTTAGCAAGGATTAAGGGTTTGAGGCTGGGTTTTTTTTAAATCCAGTAGTGCTTGGACCCGTTCTTGGCCATGTGCCTTCGGGCTCCAAGTTATTAACCTTCTGTTTCAAATAACAAGCAACAGAAATAAAGAGGGCAGAAGGGGGGAGGGCAAGTATACATGCTGTATAGGAAAGAAGAGGGCAATATATCACGCAATACATGTAACACATGGCTCATAATCATCAGTAAAACTTGCTGGGACACGGAAAACTAAACCCACCCAGAAGATTGGTGCCGATGACCTCACCTGTAAATCACTGGCTTGCTCGAGATCCCCCCCTGCTCTTAGAGAGTTGTGCACGTGAATTAGCCCTGAATTTCAAGTCAGTTTCGCAGCAGTGGAAATGCCTGTGAGCTGGTTCCCGCTCGCATAGCACCGGGCACCTCCGACTGCGGGGCTCCAGCAGGCAGCACCCACTCCCTGCCTGCTGCCCTGGAAAGCGGGGAGGTGGAACAGAGCTGGGCTGAGTTGGGGGAGCACCAATCCCGTGGTGGGGAGGTGAAGGAGGGGTGGAAGGTGTACTGACACGCATGGGGCTCTTCCCGGAGGGAGCTTCGCCATCTCATCACACAGGGACAGAGGGTTTAGCTCCAGCTCCTGCCAGCCACGCTCCGCAACAGCCTGAGTCCTTCAATAGTCGAAGTTCAACGCCCACGGCAATAAACAGGAACAGCAGATTCCCAGCCCAGCACAACTGTATTAATTCAGAGGCGTATATTATGGAGTGTTTAACTGTTCTGTAAATACTGAACCCGTAGAAACCAGCACGAGGGCAAGTGCTAGTTAAATAACCTTTATCACCTCTGCTCCCCAAGAGTTTTCACGGTGCCACAAACAGGCTGGATGCTCAGAAGACACAGCCCAGCTCTCCAGGAAGGCAGGAAAACATATCACAGCTCAGGAGTTATGGCACTGACAGCACAAACCAGGGGTCTGCTTTAAAAAGCTGGGAGATCTCCGATGGGCTTTCTGGGGATAGGGGAACGTGCCTGCCTTTTACAGGTCCAAACCCTAGGAACAGGAATTTCTTCATGAAAAGCAGCAGGCTGAAGGCTATCTTACCGCAGGGCAGCCCTCACAGCTCCTCTTCACAGTGGAAGCTGAAACTGGGATCACACCTACAGAAAACTGGACCCTGAGCAACAAGGGCCCCTGCGCCTGGAGCCAGTTTTCACTTTAAAAAAATCGAAGACAAACCAGGCCATCAGCCCCTTTTCAGTTAATTCTCACCTATCCTATACACCCCAGTCCACCCTTTAAAACCACGCCCGACATGGGGTTATTCTTTGCTTTAAGTAAGGGTTGCCACACTAGCCTGCCAGAAACAGTTGTTTTGGCCACTGACCACGACTCACCCTGTGCTTCCACTTCTGTGAGGTGTTATGGCTCTCATTTTAAACTTCCAAATTATTTCAGTGCTTCCCCAGAGGCCTGCCTCTCTGCGTTTCGATTCAGAACAGCAAGTGCTTTGTAATTGTGGATGACAGCACCCCAAGGGTGGACAAGACAAGCACAGCAGCCCACAGGCAGCAAACAGCTGGAAAAATCCTCGTGCTTTTTATGTTCCTACCTCTCGAGGGCAGCCCCTTGTTCAAACAGGCCCATAGCCCTCCAGAGCCTGTTCCCAGCAACCTTTGACTAGGAATTTAAAGTCACCTAATCCTGTCTGCCGCATTATTAATTAGCTTGCAATGCTGTGACATGGCGTAAACATGTTCTTAGCAGGCTCTCCTCTGTCTTTATCCCCGCTTCTCCCCAAAATAAACAACAAAACCCAGAACCAAACATGCCTGAAGCGCAGTGCAATGAGCTACTTTCTCACTAGGTGGAAGGAATTAATTTCTTGTATCACTAGTACACGCTGCATGGACAGCAAAGACTGATCATCTGAAGAGAACATTATGGGGAAAAACATTGAATTTCATGGTCATTTGTGGGCTGGAAGTGATCTAAGAAACACCCAGTATAAATCACAGCTCCAAGAGACAGTTTCATTTTTCTCTGCAGTTCCACCTTTCTATTTCTGAGGTCTTTCAGGTTACAGCTGTGCCAGTTTCGCTGCATTTCCAGATGCACAATATAGGCTGCTCAAAGACACACAATAATAAATGAGCAGTTCTCCAAGAAAGCAAAACTACTTGGGAGAACACACAAAAGACTGGAAGGAAGGCAAACAAAACACAAGACACATTCAAAAAGGTTAACTTAAATCTTTTGGTTGAAGAACGCAAAAGTTGTCACAAACATTCGAGCTCCCACCAAGGATCAGAGCTTTGACTGCTCCATCTATCTCAGCTATTTAACGGAACCAGATGACAGACTGGTCATACTGCCCCGCACAAGCCTTTCCCAGGTCTTACACTTGGCTTCTGGGCCTGATCTCCAGCAGGGAGTATAACAAGAGCTGGGATGCACCGAGAGAAGAGAGAAGTCCTGCAGAGCTGCTCCTGTTTGCTCGCTGCAAGATAAAAGAAATGGCAGAGAGGAAAGAAACAACAAAGACGTTGAAGAGCTGTATTGTAAAATCAGTACAAAGCAACAGAACACGCACATTGGACATCAAGGACAAGGAGACAACATGGAAAGCAGAGAACACCACGAGACAGGAAGAAACAAGTAACACTCGATGCGAAATTCTGGTCTGACACACCTTGGTAAAGCAGATCAACTTCAACCACGCTAGGATTTCACCTTCAGTACTTTAAATTAATCCATATCTACCTTCTGCTATACAAAGGCCAGCCTGGAGGCTTTCAGACTTGTAGATGGCGGAGGGGAGGGGAGGGGAGGGGAGGGGAGGAGGAAAAAAAAAAAAGCTAAGAAGTCTCTACTTTCCTCCCTTCAAAGACACAAAAGGGGTGGCATTTCCCATACAAGCTGAGCAAAGCAGAGGCAAACATTGGGGGTCATTACACCACTAACGAGGTGAGCCCCCGACACAGTCAGACAGGAAAGTCGTACAGAGGTTGCCGTAATAGGTGGGATACGCCCGCATATGGCTGACGTGAGCCGAATCCGAGAAGTCTATAGCTTTCACGGAGACACCGAGCTGCTGCCGGGCATCAGCCATGTGCTTAACTTCGCTGGCCTTGATGATGGCATCGGCTTGGGAATAGAGGTAAAGCTCAGGCCAGCGCGAGGGCGCTTTCAGCAGGGCATCGTAATGGCTCTCGTGGATGAAGCGGGTCAATGGGTACAGCAAGATCCGCAGCACGACAGCTGTAGTAGCAAAAGCAAATAGGAGGAAATACTTGAGCAGCACATTCGTGGATACCAAGACAGTTGCCAAGGCACGAAGGCCTCCTCTCAAGTTTCTTCTGCCAGGGGCACTATCGAAAATGGTGCCTGCCACTTTGAGGTTCTTAAATGGCTTGTGAGTGTGGAGCGCCTCGATGATGTAACGGTACAGCATGACACCACCATTGCTAAAAACATGAAAAAGAACCGGTCTGTTTTCAACGCTGTAGTCAAAGAGCAGCTCCAGGAGTCGCCTGGCTGGGGTCTGGAGGGATCTGATGCCAAAGGTCTCAGAGAAGAATATCATCCTCCATGAAGCCGTGTAGCGGATGACGGTGCACCCCTAAGAAGAACAGAAAGAGAGCCCACACACATTTAGGCTGTGCTGTAAATTACATGGAGTAGGCAAGCATCAGTACAAAGAACGTGAAAATTGGAGACAGGTTTCCAACAGAAACCACAGGGCCAGAAGAAAGCCTTTAGTGTCAGTAGCAAGGCACCAATATGAATAGGATTATATTAATCATAACAGCACACAGTATTATGAAAAGGTTTCTGCAGTAGCAGAGGCCTGGATTTGATGATGTTTGAGATCCTTTCAAATCTTGTACTAGCTGGCACAGCCCCTGGGGACATTGCCACCCAAGCTTTTATGAGCATTAGTCTTCACCCAGGAAGAGAAAACCATCTCCCTGATTCACAAACCTCCAGTATCAGCCATTTTGGTAAGAAGGGCCTGCTCTGGTACACATCTAGTTCACAACATTGAAACAAACATAAGAAGGAGGAGGAACTTCCTCCTGTCCTTCGGTAGTACTTGTTTGCAGCCGTCTCTAAGACTCACCCACAATCAACACTGACATGATTTTCATGAGCCTTTCTGAAACGTTCCAGCTGTGCAAATGAAGAGCACTGGTTCAGAGATTCAGAACGCCTGCACAATTGCCTTTACAGTTAAGGCCTTACATTTAGGTGTAGATTGGGAAACAGGATCTTGAAGGAGTTTCTAAATAGAGCAGATGGAACTACATTTATAAATGCTTTAGATCTTTTCTATCACCTAAACTCACTGACATTACACACTGACAAACACAAGGCAAAGCCACCAAGACAGCCCTCCCGCCCAGAGCTCCCTAAACAGTGAACGAGGAAGCAGAGGATATCAAGTTCTTAAATCAAAGTCTTCTACACCGTCTTGCCACAGTTGCAGCCACTTCCTCATTAGGGAGCTAAGAAAACCCTTTCTCTCCTTTCCCATTCCTATCATCTTTCTGATAGAAAATTATTTTCAAAAAAGTTAGCATGCTGCCATGTAATGTGCTCCTCACCTGCTCAGCAGCATCTCTTAGTCACAACAGTCACTTAACAATTAATTCTTCACTAGAACAAGCCAATTCATGACTCTTGCACTGGATTACACATTAACGATAGACTTGTTAATGTACAAACTTTTCCACCTATAGCTGAAACAGGAAAAAAAAAAGTCTAATGTTTCAGTGGGTCCCCATACTACAAGCTGGGGTCATTCCAGTAAAATACAGTATTAGAAAGGAAAATATCATAACTTAGGGAACTAGCAATCGGACAGACCTCTCTAGTTCAAACACAAGGAGTTCCTAGTGAGCAGGTGTGACTGTCATAGGATGGCTGTTTCACAGACAGGATAAAACAAATTTAAATTACAACATTTAGATGAATCATCTTCACGGGAAGGAAAAGCCGAAGGAACAACAGATGCTGATGTGCTCTGTCAGTCCTCAGCCTGGCCTCACCTAGTCTGTGCTGTGGCCTATTAGCAAGCAGTAAACGCATAATCTTTCCCCGTATGTTGACCTGTTTGGAAAGCTAACACAGTTCATGTCATTCCTGAATAGTCTCACAACTTTAAAAGCCTTAAAATACTCCAGTGATTCACACAACAGCGGAAAGTTTCTCCAAGGAAGTATTTTTATCTCAGCTGCACACACAAAGATGACATCAGCAACTGTTAGATAACGCTGCCTGGGCTCTGAGAGACAAGGAGCTTTCAATGACAAGAGAACTCGCCACTCCCAACGACTCTTCAGACCAAGAGAGGCTTTAGAGCGATTCTACCAACATGGAGAAAAGAGGCGGTTTCTCAGAGAGCTGTATGACAGTGTCATGAAAATATAAATAAACTACTCACCTTCTGACTGTAGATTGCACTGTATTTGGCCAGGTATTTGTCCTGGCAGCCTGCCCAACCTAGAAGGATCACCACAGGCTGACCATCTGCATGCCCCGTCTCTGTACTGTTCTCTGAAACAAATCACAAGATTTAAAATAATTGTCCTCCAGTCTACCAGAATCAGAACTTACGGCAACTTGCCTGGTTAACAAAGTTTAAAGGTAATGGTGAAGCGGGTATTAGCTTAATTTCTCAGTCAGTTATGAATATGAAACATCCCAGTTTCACTACGTGGACATGCTCAGCAGGACAGGACAGCACAGTTTCAGTCCCTGCAGCCTCCCAAAGCTCTCCACTGATGCAAAGCCAGCAGTGTGCAGACCGCCACGGGGGGCGGAGACCCTCCTCACGCCTCCCGGGAGCTGGGGAGGCATCAGAGACTGCTGCCCACCTCCAGGGGGGGAAGGGAAGTGCCCTGCCCTGCCCTGCCCTCCAGGAACTACCAGACACCCGGTACGGCACAAGTGTCTCCACGGCTCCCTCCCCCCGCACCCTGACGGGATCCCCAGGCCCCCCGTGGGGACCCCCCCC